GGCGGGATCCGGGCGGTGTCTGTGCCGGGCTGGGCCGCGCTGGGCGGCGGCAGAGCGCGCCGGGGATTGTTCCTCAGATCTGGGTGTCTGCTTGTGCCCGTGGAACGCGGGCGAGTTTGGACTTACCCACTATGCTTGTGGCTTTTGAGTCTTTATTTGGGGGTGAGATTGGTTTCTCTCAGCGTTACAGTGCAGCCTGCGTAGTCAGATGAATTCCCTTCTGCCTCAGCCTTGGTCCTTTCTGCACTGGTGGGGCCCAACCCTCAACTTTTTCCAAGAGTATTATTTCTACTCCTGCCTGTTTTTCAGAGTCTCCTAATGCTCATGGACAGCCCACTGAATCGGGCTGGTCTCCTGCAGGTTTATATCCATACCCAGAAGAATGTACTAATTGAAGTCAATCCCCAAACCAGAATCCCAAGAACTTTTGATCGGTTTTGTGGTCTTATGGGTAAGTGATTTAGGCTTTATATTTAGCCACAAAATAGTGTGGGAAGGTGCTTAGGAGTGGAAGAACATTGGGCAGAGTCACAAATATGCACCGACCTTAAAAATAGTTAAGTGAGAAAAGAGCAGAAAAATGAAAGTGTTTTTTTTAAGCTCTAGGATTATTCTAACTATGTGTTCCTTAACACAGTGGGGAGAGCCTGCATAAGACTGTACTAGCAGCAGAGTGACTTGCTGATCATTTTTTTTAGGGCTGCTTTAGCTGGCGTGGACTTGCTAATCACTTTTTTAGGGCTGCTTTAACTGATGCTGGGAACTCTAAAGGTGGGCTTACTTCAGTTCTGATGAGCAGGTAGAGGATAGGATTCCTCCAGGAAAAGAACAGACAGCTTATGGAGTTTTCTTCTCTTGTCAGTTCAGTTGCTGCATAAGCTCAGTGTTCGAGCAGCTGATGGGCCTCAGAAATTGTTGAAGGTAAACATTCCTTGGCTGTTTACAGGTAATGTTGCAATATTCCTCTATTGCAGCTAGTAATGTAAGAGTGATTTTTTAACTTTTTTTTTTTTTTACACAGAATGGACTTGTTGGCAGCTGTGTGGCAGGGTCTCTTACCTCTGCACCCCTGTTAACTTTCTGCAGGTGATTAAAAATCCAGTCAGTGACCATCTCCCTGTGGGCTGTATGAAGATTGGTACCTCTTTTGCAGTTCCCAAGGTGTCTGACCTGCGTGAACTGGTTCCTGCAGCAGAGCCAGTTGCCATTGTGGTGGGAGCTTTCGCCCACGGTTCGGTAAGTGCACGTATCCTTCACGCGGAGCTGCCAGAATATTGGCCTAGATTTCATTGCTGTTCTGAGTATGGGGTTTTTTTCCTTCTGTTTTTCTGCCTTGGCCTCCCCTGTCCTGCCCTCCTATTTGTTTTGTTTGTCCGTCCCTGTTCCCCCCCACATGCCCAGGTAAGCTTGTCAAGAAAAGGCACAGTGCTGCAACACTCGGGACTCCTCTCCTTGCCAAGAGAGGGCACTAGTGAGGACTAGCAGTTGTTCTGCTGGAAAATACTGCACCTCTCTAACCACTTGGGGTGAGGCTAAGTGAGAACTTGCAGCTTCACTTTCTTTTTTTCCCCTCCCTCCTTTCCCCAGGTCAATGTTGACTACACAGAAAAGATGGTCTCAGTCAGCAACTACCCTCTCTCTGCTGCCCTGACATGTGCTAAAATTACGACTGCCTTTGAGGAAGTCTGGGGTGTAGTGTGAGCTTCTGCTACTGCTGTCATGGTGGACTTCTATACAGTGACTCCACATTCTGGAAAGGCCTTTCTACTTAGGTGTGAACCTGGTGCAGCTTTGGGCTCCTGGAAGGGAAGAGCATTCAATTTTGTCCTTGTAGCTTCTGGAGCAAAGAGACTTTAAGTGGACAGCCTTTTTCTTCCTAGTAAAGGTCACTTTTGGTAAGAGTGCTTGTGTATTTTACTTTGCCGTGTTTCGTATGTGGGCAGGCTCGATACCATATAGCAGGGGCTCAGCCCAAATTTGCCATGGAACTGCAATTCTTGGCCGTGCCCTGCTCAGCCCACAGCTGATGTCGCAGTCCTGTAGCATCACCTCGCTCGGTGGTGTGTGACAGTGCACACACACTCCCACACCGAGGCACCCAAGAGGAAAGGAGCTGAAGCCGGCATGAAAAAGACCAGGAGCAATTTTTATCTTGGATGACAAACGTAGAAAAGTCGGAAGGTGGCTCCAATCCAATACAGTGCCTGCCTCGAGCGTTTTACAATCATCTGATATCAGCAGAGAAACACGAGTTCCACTGGAGGGCGGCAGAGAGATAAGGCAACATACAGAAGGTGGAGGATCTGGAAGGAGGCTTACTCCATTCCTCTCCTTTGGGGTCTCTGACCCTGGGCGTTCTCTTTCCCCCTCCTTGTGTTGAAAAAATGTCATCCTTCAACACGGCAAACTTGGCAGGTGATGCTTTGCTTCCGGAGTGTTACATCGACTCCTACAAATGCACAGGTGGTACAATCTGAAAAAGAAAGTCCTGGGTTTGGTTTGGTTGATCTTGTTCGCCTCTCATCTTGGGATGTAACGCTGCGACCCCGCTTGGCCTCCTAGCCCAAGCACGGGCTGCTCTCTGCCCAGCACAGCCTTACCTTTTGGCTGTTATTCTGCTCTTTTTAGCTTTTCTTTTCGTGGCACAATTAATCTGCGAATGTAAGGCAACACCAGTAATAAGGTCAAGAACAACACATGTCCCAGGAAATAAATAGACCTGTACACCTGTAAAGAGAAAAGCATGGTTATGGTTAAGGATCAGCAAGCAGCTTTGAGCCAAGAACGTGGAGACAGGAGGGAGGGCAGAGGGCTGCTTGCATGCATTAGTCTGTGGCTACTAAATACCTTCATCCATTTGTCCCAGGTGAAAAGGCAAAATGGCACCAGAGAGTAGCCCATAAACATCCAGTGGTTGGCCTGCTGCAGCACGTAGAAGATGGGCCGCAGGGCAGTGATGGAGGCCAGGGTGCTTAGGGGAGGACTGTCCCGAACAAGGTTTATGACCTAATTTAAAGAAAAAAACAGAATTCTCATCATCTGGATGCCCTGTAGCTGCATATGCAGGCTCTGGGGCCAAAGTTATCTATCCAGTATGTAAAATGAATTTTAGTAAGCTGCTAGCTGCCTTTTTCAGAGCAAGTGCCCCATCCTGCTCCAAGTTTTAATTTAAAAAACACCAACAGTTTAAATATGGACAGTTGTTCTCTCAGTACTGGGAGATTTAGCGGAGGCTCATGTGCTTGTCCTCCAGCCTTTCCAGCTGCCAAGCACTTCAGTTGCCCTCTGCTCATATGCCACGTTCTCCACTTCCCGTCAGCTTCTGCAGTAAATTTATGGCTTGTCCATACAGAGGCCAGTAACCTCCTGAACCCTTCAGAACAGAACCATATCACGTTTGAGAACCAATTCCAAAGTGAGCAGCTGTTTTTCATATTTAATGCAAGGAAAGCCCTCAGCGTGGCGGTTCCCAGGCGTGTGAGGAAAGGCTACTGCAGGCCACCCCGTTCTGGTGAGCCCCACAAAGCCCACCTGTCTTTCAACGATGACTATAAGCAGCTCCATCTGAAAGCACACCAGGTAGCCAGAGTGCAGCCCATGCCAAATGGCCAGGAAGAACAGGGCCAGTGCCTGTGACAGCAGTTTGTTACCCAGGAACTTCAGCCGCTTGAAGATGTACCTAGAGCAGAAAAGAAACAAAGTGCTTCGAGTTCATTGTCTGTCCTCCCCTCCTCACGTCAGAGGTGCAGGGCCTAGGCAGCCGTAGGCCTTTGCAGACCCTGCAGTGGACACAGGCCAAACTGTACCTCAGCCCCTGCCTCAAAGAAATCCTAGCTATTGGGGAGGAGTGCTTCATGTAGCAATGCACACAAATGACATTTTACAGTTCAGTTGTGTGTCCCAGCAACAGGTGAACCCAAACCCATCCGAGTCCTTGTGGAGGGAGTGGCAAGAGGCATCATGTAGGAACCAGCTGTTGGAACAGTTCTGTGGTTGTTTGCCCAGCCAGGCCAAAGGGCTTGCTGCAGTCCTCCTCTAGCCTCTGCCCTCCTGCTGCCACCAGCTCCTCGCCTGTATTAATGAACTGCCCTTTTAGATTGAATTAAAAGATGTGCCTAACTCAGCAAGCTGTTTGAAACAGCACAGCAGCAAAATGTGGAAGTAAAAAGGCAAGAACTGAAAACTGGCAGATGGACTGTCTAATGCTCCCTCTTGGCCCAAGATCTTGGTTCTGTTGATGCAGATGTTAGCAACATGTTATAGAAGGGGACTACTGTACTGCTCACCGGGCCACCCAGGCATTGGTGTTGATGTTGAAAGAGGCAATGGTCCCTGTGAACAAAGGTGTTGTCTCATACAGCCAGACCTTCATGTTGGCACACGCATCCCACAAGGGTTTTCCATTCTGGTCCTTCCCGTTGTACCCCAGACCAACAAGGATGCAAACACCTTCCTGTAGAAAAAGATTCATGAGAAAGGTGAGAGGAAAAAATCTGCACCCCCTCTCTTTTTTTTTTGTGGAAAGGCAGAACTGGGGGAGCTCTGACTCTCACTGTGTTGAATGAGAGCACCACTCCAGATGGAACAAATGGATTAAAAAATGCCTGCTTTTTAGTTAGGTTGCTTTTGCTAACTTAAAGCAAGCTAAACTGACCTGTACAGATCTCCAATGGAGAACTAAATGGATTACTTCCATATAGTTCTAAGTCCAAGAGCATAGAAAGTAGCTGCAAAGGTGCAACCTTTGTGCATTTATCTTTTGTTTCTGGAACGCCTCGACTCACCGTAACAAGCCAGCAAGTTACATATTTGTAGAGTATAATTTTCCCCCAGATCAATATGTAACCACAACGGAACCAGAAAGGCTTCTCCTGTAGGGATAAGAGTGAAATTGAATTTAAAAAAAAAAAAACCCAACAACAAAAAATGACACAAAACCAGTTGAGTGGCAATAACAAGACAAGGTAGACGAGACATCATCGCTTTTTTTTGTTCTCATCTGATGTGTTTAGACTGCTATATGGACTGGACTGCCAGGCTATTGGCTTATTCAAGTTTACACACCATTCTTCTTCTTTTGGTAATATTTGGCTGTGCTGAAATAGAGGTACTCCAGGAAGATTCTGGGATTAGCATAATCATTGCAGAATTTACACCCTCCTTTTTTCATACTGACACAGAAATGCTGATAAATCTGCAGGTAGGAATTACTTGTTAAACAACAAGTTTTCTAAGAACTTCAATTCTGGTAAGCTTTGCAAGTTACTCTAGTGAAGTTCTTTGCATGTAATGCTTAAAAGAAATGCTTTTGTGGAAAATGCTTAACACGAGTTGCTCATTTATTAAGTTGAGGCAAAACTAAAAAATAAGAAAAAAAATCTTCTAGGTCCAGTGCCCACCAGAAAAATGGAATTCTTCCACACCCCAGAGCTGCCAAATGAATACGTACCATATAATCATCTGAGATGAGGTAGTCATCAGAGATGTACAGGCTTGACAAGGTATAGGTTACTAAAAAGAAGAGACCCAAACTCAGGCGCTTGAGAGCAGGCACAAAACTGAGAAAAAAAATATCAAGGTCAAAGAAAAGCTTTCAAAAGACACCATCAAACTCCTAATTTTAAAGATGGAAGTGGAGAAGAGGAGGTAGGGGAGATAGCAATAGAGAGTCACCACATTCCACTGCAGCAGATGCCTCCGTTTGGAAGCTGGGATGCAAACATTAGCAGGTTGGGACTGAGCCTGTGCTAAAGATGTCAGATGGTTGTTATGTTCATGCCCTGGAACAATGCTAGGAAGTTAAGCAGAGAGCTATGAGCAACTTTTGAAAAACTCCTTGTCTTACAAATCACTTTTAGTCACAGTACTTCAGTGCCCAGGTAAGAAGGCACTCTGCTGCAGGGAGCACGTGGGGGAGTCAGCATTCGGGGATCTTAGGGAGGTGAGCAGCTAAGTGACTTCTCATTACCTATTTGGTCTCTGGCCTGGAATATCGGTCATCTCACCCCTTGCCAGTTTCTGATAGTCTGTCATGGAGAACTGAGGCCCCACCATGAAGGCACCATAGAAATAGGAGAATCCTGAGACCTCCAGCAAGGTAGGAACTCCCCGGACAGCAAACCGCCGCTGCTCAGGGGTCAGGAACTCCTGCACCAAAGGAAGTGGCATTAACATCATCCAGAGCTAGTATGAGATCCCCTAAGATGTTATGTTCTCAGTCTACCTCCTTAATAGTTCAGTTCTTGCTCTCCATGTATGTGGAATTTTCCACTTCTTATTTCACAGGAATTCCTCTATCCCCACCTCCTCTCAAGAGCAACAAGATCCAACGGTTGAGAGCAGTTGCACAGATCCCTATTTCCAAATAGGCTCAAAACATGGACAGGATCTATGGACATGCATCTGTGCCAGCACAGCAGTCCTAGTGAAAGCACTGTATCTGACCTATTCCAGTCCCTGATACCATTCATATGTACTCTCCTAAGGCCTTCACCCTACAATTCCTACTTCTTGATGCAAGAAAACACTGTCTTCAAATACTTGAAATTGCAGCTTAGGCAATTTCATCTCAGCCTTGGTTTCTTGCAGTCAGCAGCAACTCTGTGGGTGCTAAAGACTCAGTCAGGCCCCAAATAGGATATGGGGAAAGCAGGTACTTGAAGTAGGAGAAAGAGACTGTAGCAAGCATTTTGTCCTCTCCCCTACATTGTGCTGTGCAACTTCTCTCACTGTTTCATCTGGTCTAAAACCAGGGCCCTAACAAATGGTAACGGGCAACCACTCATAAGGATATGGTAAACTAAAAGAAAATGGAGATGGGAACTGAGATCCAGTGCTGATGGTCTGCAAGTTAAAGGTACACTACTCACAAGACACAGAGCATTGAGGCCTGGAAATCTA